GGCACATAAGAACTCCAACTTCCAAAGTAATATCTCAAATGGTTAAGTCAACAAGTGGACAAGAATGAAAATTTTAACTGAGTTTCTAAGTCAAAAAGGGCCATAATTCAAATAAAATCCTTAACAGAATTACCTTCTCCTGCCCATGTTTTGGGACCATGATGGTAAACAAGTATTCCAACTTTCAATTTAATATCTCAACCAGTTCAGTCAAAAAGTTGACTGGTACAAAAAAGTTAACCAAGATTCTAAGTCGATAAAAGGCCTTAATTTTTAAAACAAATCCTTGACAGAGTTACCTTCTCTTGCGTACAGATGGGGGTAATGATGTGAAATAGCATTAAAAGTTTCAAAGCAATATCTCAAAGGGTTAAGGCAATAAGTGGATTTTACCCATATTCAATGTATTTTCTAAGTCAAAAAGGGGCATAATTCTGTCAAAAACCTTGACAGAGTTATGTCCTCTTGTCTGTTGATGAAGGTCGTGATGGTAAACAAGTATGGTCAGTTTCAAAGCAATACCTCCAATGGTTTTGAAATAAAGTGAGGTGGTACAAAAAACTTAACCAAGCTCAATACACTTTCTAAGTCAAAAAAGGGCCATAATTCTGTCAAAAACCTTGACAGAGTTATGTACTCCTGTCTGTAGATGGAGGTTATGATGGTGAACAAGTATGGTAAGTTTCAAAGCCATACTTGTAATACTTCTGAAATAAAGTGGGGTGGTACGAAAAACTTAACCAAGGTGTGACGCCAACGCCGACGCTAACGCCGACGCCGACGCCGGGGCGAGTAGGATAGCTCCCCTTTTCATAGAAAAGTCGAGCTAAAAACTAAACATATTGTTTATTACAAGAATTAGTTTTAAATTTGTGCTTATATTAGTATGAGACGATTAAGTGTCTAACACGTGAACAAGTTTGCATAGAATTTCATAACGTTTTAAAACAAGCCAATTTTTTACCAACGCTTCAATTTTTAATCGCAACTACTCGGCCCTTTCCGTCACAGGTGGCAGTATCAGTGTTTGGACACCCACCCCTATCTGCCCCTGGACCCCTACTACAACCCTGAAAAAAATAATTCAACACTCTAAGGCTTACTATAAGGTACCAAATACAAAACCACCGATGAAATTATATAAACAAAAATTTTTCCACTATCAAAATTATAGTTATAGAAAGGTGAAAAGCCTACTATATGTTCATTTGCCAAACAATGTGGAACACGGGAAATCGTCGTTTCGGCGACTGAGGCGCATTCCGAAGGCATTTTGCTGCATCATTCATTTACACCAATAAAATGAACTTGAATTGCACAGCTTACTTAATTCAAGTTTAACGAATATCAATATTCTATCGATTTTGGCAATATCCGGTTATCTACCCCCCGGGGCAGAAACATTCTTAACTGTTTTTTTATGACAGTCGTGTGGTCAGCCCTACTGATCTGGATCATTCAGGCGCTTGAAACATATCACACGTACCCGCATGCGCAAAAAAATAAAATATTTACCTACCATGCGCTTGCGTAGTTAGCCTGTGAAAGAACAATCATCTAGCAAGGGGTTCATAACGGGTTTTTACATAATAAATATCCTCTACGGAATGAACTCCTACATTTAGACAGCTAAAATCACTTCAGTATATCATTCATTCCGTAAAAAATAACTGACGGAATGAAGTTATACATTGATACTGCTTATATCATTTCATTATATCGTTCATTCCGTATTAAAATAGCCAACAGAATTAACTTATACATTGATACTGCTCATATAATTTCATCATACCGTTTTAAAATAGCAGACGGAATGAACTTGTACATATATACTTTTAACATCGTTTCAGTTCATCGTTCATTCCGTATTATATAGCCTAATGCATATAATTATATCGCCGATATATATACTCCGGTTACCAGTCCCGGGGCAGATACGTACTAGGCATTCATAATGTTACTTTAATGTTAGTAAAAAAATCATTCCTTTTATGCTTATTAAGACAGTACCCCCAAAACATTGCCAAGCCCCATTTTTTAAAGCATGATTGCCCCCGAAGAAAACCCTCTTCCTAGGGAATACTTCCCCTTAAGTAGCATTTAATTATTGTTAGTAATTTATTTCGTCGCTATATATATACTCCGGTTATCAGTCCCGGGGCAGATACGTACTAGGCTTTCATAATGTTACTTTAATGTCAGTAAAAATAAATTCATTCCTTTTATAAATGCTTATTAAGACACTTCCCCCAAAACATTGCCAAGCCCCATTTTTTAAAGCATGATGGCCCCCGAAGAAAACCCTCTTCCCGGGGAATACTTCCCCTTTAGTAGCATTTAATTATTGTCAGTAAATTATTTCGTCGCTATATATATACTCCGGTTATCAGTCCCGGGGCAGATACGTACTAGGCTTTCATAATGTTACTTTAATGTCAGTAAAAATAAATTCATTCCTTTTATAAATGCTTATTAAGACACTTCCCCCAAAACATTGCCAAGCCCCATTTTTAAAGCATGATGGCCCCGAAGAAAACCCTCTTCCCGGGGAATACTTCCCTTTAGTAGCATTTAATTATTGTCAGTAAATTATTTCGTCGCTATATATATACTCCGGTTATCAGTCCCGGGGCAGATACGTACTAGGCTTTCATAATGTTACTTTAATGTCAGTAAAAATAAATTCATTCCTTTTATAAATGCTTATTAAGACACTTCCCCCAAAACATTGCCAAGCCCCATTTTTTAAAGCATGATGGCCCCCGAAGAAAACCCTCTTCCCGGGGAAAACTTTCCCTTTAGTAGCATTTAAATATTGTTACTAAATTATTTCGTCGCTATATATATACTCCGGTTATCAGTCCCGGGGCAGATACATACTAGGCTTTCATACAAGTAATACCTAGAACGTATCTGCCCCGGGACTGATAACCGGAGTATATATATAGCGACGAAATAATTTACTAACAATATTAAAATGCTACTAAAGGGGAAGTATTCCCCGGGAAGAGGGTTTTCTTCGGGGGCCTTCATGCTTTAAAAATGGGGCTTGGCAATGTTTTTTGGGGGGATACTGTGTGAATAACTTCATACGGACTGAACGTTATTAACTCGTTTTAAAAACAATCACTACAAATGCTCAGTACGCATCTGCCCCGGGAAGGAAAACCGGATTATAATTATATATAACTGCATGTGTGTTATTAAATGATATTACCCTTTTGGTAGCCCTTACATACCTAACTGTCTATACTGCTGTATAGTCACGTAAAAATGAATTTATCAGTAATTTAAGTTACACGGATGACAAAACGTTCAATGATAATTTCATGATTTTTTTCCACTTAAAAATAAAGCCAAAGAAAATTATATTAAATATGAAACATTTTGCAAGTGTTAATGAAAACAGTACTGAAAAGATTTTATTTTATAGTGAATGAATATTTCAAGATATGTAATGTACACATGTACTGACATGCTTAAATTTATGGAAAATAAATCATGCAGGAAACCGCGAAATTTATAGTAAGAATTAATGCCCTTCCTTGGGAGTAACCTCAACCAATGAAATTCAAGGAAAAAACAAGCGTCCACGAGATCATGATTTTTGGATGAACTAATCTGTCCCGGGGGCAGATAACCGGATATTGCCTCGATTTTTTTCTATTTCACTGTAATTTTTGACTTGTCGCTGCCATTTTGGATTCTGATACCTGTGTGTTATACGCGATCTGATTGGACGTCAAATTTGGCTCGTCCAATCAGATCGCGTATTTCAACCCAGGTATCAGACTGCAAAATGGCTACGACAATTAAAAAAATACCGTGAAACAGAAAAAATCGGAATGATAGCGATATTGGTTACCAAACACTGATACTGCCACCTGTGCTTTCCGTCAGTCTTCTTGATTTGGTGTTAGTCTTGATTACCTGCCCTTTTCTCTCCGTTCAATACTAAATTTTATAGTACAACGGGAACCAGACTAGATTTGGTGTCTGTATGATTAGGGGAAGTAACCGCTGCGGGGTTTTGGTTCTCGGCATGAAAATGAAAGCGCAAAACAGTGCCGAAACTCATTCCAGTCGTCTCACATCAAAGGAAAGTGTATGTTGTTATCTTTATGAAATTATGATATTTTAGGGACTTTTTTTAAACGTGGTTAAAATAGCGGAAAACAAGTTTTATGTTGAAGACATGTGACCAGGTCGTAATAATATGCAAAAATATTTTGACGTACGGTTTGCATGATAAAAATAGGCATGGTGTATACAAGTGCGGATCAAGAAGGGGAGCCACGCACATAACCCCAAGTGTCTGTGTTCCAATACATATTTTATATCATGATCTATTTTTAGAACAAATTATCATGTGACAAAAGAACCCAACTGTTTTTATTTATGAACATCAGTGATTGATTCTTTTTACACTTATATCATGTATCCCTAATGAAGACCTTGCTAAACGTTAAAACTAAGGGTAAAATAAAAGTTATTCAATCATAATTGCCAATTGTTTGTTTTTTTAGTGCATCATTCATAATATATATTAAATCACGTTTAAAGATTATTTTACAAGTAATTTCAACAATAGAATAGTGTAGCAAACTAAGACTAATATGTTTGCGTTTCATGGTTTACGGAGAAAAATACATTAAAAGAAATGTTTTCCTAAAAGTATGTTCCAATAATATTGCAGCTTTAATGATCTCAATAATATAATGATACAATTCCTTGCTGGTTTTCAGTGATTTTCCATCTTATATAACAGAGGCCTATAAAAGGCTCTTCCCAATGGAATTTTCTTTAAAATCATGCAGTTTTCCCAAAAAATATGAACTTACACCAGCTTTTTTTAATTCCAAAAATAGCAATTTTAGTGATAAATTTTCCCATAATCAAGAGGCTAGGACCTCTTCTCAACTAAGTGAGAAAAACCACTGGTTTTTGTCATAAACATTACCATAGTTACGGAAAGTAAAAACAAAAACACCAATACATACCTGCTTCCACTCATGACAAAACCCTGGTCCTCAAAATGTACGATTTCATCTGGTGTAAGACCGATCTCACCTCTTCTAGGGATTCTCTTTCCTTCCGCAATATAGGCGGCCATTGCGGCACCCTCTCCCGGTAACAATGCTTTACCAAAACTGAAAATATCATTTCCAAAGTTAGAGTCAAAACTTCACTGATTTGAGTGGTATTTGTTTTAGAAAAATACATAATGTAATAATGTGAATTCAGTCCTTGTTCTAACCTGATTTTCCACAAATTTCAATTAAAGATCATGTAACAATTTTTTTAAGGTTTTATATCATAAATATGAAGATTTATATATATTGTAAGTTCCAAAAAGCATAATTTGTAATGATTATTACCGAATTGACATTTCATGTGAATAAAGGGAGGTTATTAGAAATTTATTTTTGATAAAGTCTAAAACCAAATTTTCAATAAAAAATGGATGCATACATTTTAATGATTATACTTATAATGCGATTAAAAATTTGCAGTACATATTTAAGATATTCTTGGATGTGTGGAAATAATTATACACTAATATAAAATTTTACTTAAGTGTTATTACATCCTTAATATTAAAGGGCTAACACTGTTCATCAATAAGACTACAACCATTTACTCTAGACTTAGACTATTGCAAAACCAAGCTTCTTATAACCAGGACTCTTCATATACAGTTGTTTTTCAGAATACTTATTAAAAATGCTTGTTTGTTTGTTTGATTGGGTTTTATGTTGCACTGACACTGTTTTGGTCATATGGCCACGTTCAAGCTTTACTAGTGCAGGAAGACCTCAGGTGCCCTTCCAAGCATTATTTCAGGCACGAACAGGCACCTGAGTAGAACCACTGACATTCCGTAAGCTAGCAAGATAGCTTCCTCACATGAAAGAATCCAAAGTCCCTGTAGGGATTTGAACCCACAGCAGTGAGAGGCAAATGGTTTGAATGGTTAACCACTCAGCCACAGACACCCCTAGAATACTATGTCAAATTGCTGGTTAAATATGCATTACTTTTAGATTTATGTTCCTTTTGCCTACAAATTGAGATTATGATAAAGAATTTTCAAATTTCAAAAGCAATAGAGGGAGTTTAACAGTGAGGTGATTTTATAATATTGACCAAGGTGTGATGTTGACATGAATGTAGAAATCTAGGTGAGTAGGATTATCTCCCTTTCTTATAGAGACATAGAATAAATAAGATCAAAAATGAGATCTTGACCTAGAGTAGAGTGATCGTGATGTGAATGTTGAAATCCAGGTAAAGAGGATTATCTCCCTTATTCATAGAAAAACATTAAGCTACGAAATGGAATAAATCCAAATAAATTCCAAAAATGAGATCTTGACCTAGAGTAGACATGAGTGACCAGGATGTGAATGGAGAAATCCAGGTAAAGAGCATTATCTCCCTTATTCATAGAAAAACATTAAGCTACAAAATAGAATAAATCCTTATGTAGATCATAAATGAGATCTTGACTTAGACATGAGTATAGAGTTTGCTTGAACTCTGGCAGGGCTTATCAGTTACTTACTCTTTCTGTGAGAGGCCAGCAGCTGTAGGGTTGAAAGGTTTCGGACCTATTTCATCATCATCCTCCTCCTCCTCAGAGTCCGACACTTTCTTTGAAGCCGGCACTGAAAATACAGAGACAAGAATATCAAATTATACCTTAACCTGCTGAATTTCTTAAATGGACTTTTCCAATTTCCGCTTTGGAACAGTTCATTATCAATTTTAGGTATATCAAATTGAGAATTTTAAGTTAGCCAGCCAACAGTATAGACTGCAAGGATGTACAGGCTGGCCTGGCTCTATACTGGTGGCAAAGACTACTCACTTTCGCTTTCAGCAGGGTATCAGTTAAAGCCACATTTTGTCCTTTCATATCAAATACCTAATCACTAAAACTTTACTAATGATCAAGAACCAAAAAATGGCTCAGCTTTATGGCAAATTAGTATCTTTTTTCTAAAGTTTCTATTACAACACACACAAGAAATAAGATTTTTAAGACTGTTAAAAAATGATATCATTTTGGGGTTTTGATGAGACTTAAACCCTTAACCCCCCTGGTGGCAAAAGATTTTACCTAAGCAGCCAATACAGACCAGGCTCAGCCAGCACATCCAGATTAAATGACTTCTATGATTCCATGTTTTCAAATACTGAACTAAAATTTTACTTTTCACACATTTCTTAAATTACTTTCCTCTTAAATCACAATGAAAACCTGAGTAAACTGCTGTGTCAGACCATTAAATTAATGGATTTACTTTTTTTTTCTTTTTTCTTTCTGCATTTCTGCAATGCAAAATTTAAATATCAAATATCATTATAAAAAAATATGAATAAAACAGGATTTGAAAGCAGGAAGTTAATATCGCAGGTATTAATCTACATTTTCTATTAATTCTATTATTAAATTTTATCCTCAATTTTTATTATTAATTGTAGTAATGAATAGCAGTATCATATTGTATAACATTATAAAACTTCCCAATCTCAACATCATTTGTACTGTAACCTCTCTAATTCAAGAACCCTATCTTTACCATATTAATTTAAGATCCATATCTTTAACCCCTCTAGTTCAGCAACTATTCTTGTATTCCATTAGTTAAAAGAACCATAACTTCATACCTATACCCCATTAATTAAAGAACCATATCTTTTACCCCTCTTAGTTAAATAGGAACCAATTACTTGTACCCCATTAACTCAAGAAGCATATAATTCAAGAACCACACATGACCCCTTTATTTAAAGAACCATATCTTTAACCCATCTAATTCAAAACCCATACATGTACCCCTTTCATCAAATTCAGAACCATATATTTAACCACATTAATTCAAGATCTATATCTTTAACCCCTCTTGTTCAGTAACCATTCCTGTATTCCATTATTTAAAGAACCATATATCTAACCACTTCAATTCAGGAACCATACCTATACCCCATTTGAATTAAAGAACAACAATTTTATCTTAACCAACTTTAAATCAAGAAACATACCTTTACCCAATTAATTAAAGAGCGAAAATTTCATATTTAACTACTTTAATTCAAAAATCATACCTTTATCTCATTAATTCAAGACCCATATCTATCCCCTTCATACATGACTTCATTCAAAGACAAGCACCTTATTTGAACCGCCAAAATTCTCTGAAGCTTGTTGTATAGGGAATCCTTTCATGACATTATTTATTTTTCTCTCTATCTCATACAAGATGGTTACTAAGCAACAAGAACAGTAACTAAAACTATCACTAAATGTGATTAATACCCCCGCAAGACTGCTTCGGAAATGAGGAAGTTCACTAGTAACAGAATACCTTGCAAAAGAATTGAAATAGAGTTATGGTTGTGGGCAATTAAAGATAGTTGTGGTTCTTGTATGTTGCATTTCCTTTCAATGTGGTTGACCATTGATGAAGTTTTATTAAATTACTCTGTAATAAGTCCAGAAAGAGTTACGCTTCTTAAGCACTGCACTTCCTCTCATTGCGCTTGACCATTGTATGAAGTTGCATTGAATTCTAAACATTAGTTTTTAAGTTATGCACCGGACAAGGAAAAGGAACCAAGGGCAATAACTCTACAAATACTGAAGATGGAGTTATGGTTATTGTACACTGCACTTCCTCTCATTGCGCTTGACCATTGTATGAAGTTGTATTGAATTCCAAATACTAGTTTTCAAGTTATTCACTGGACAAAAAAGTAACAAAGGGCAATACCTGTAATTAGTCCAAATAGAGTTATGGTTCTTGTGCACTGCACTTCATCTCCCTGCCCTTGACCATTGTATGAAGTTTCTTTGAATTCCAACCATTCATTTTCAAGTAATGCACTGAACAATAAATAGTTACAAAGGGCAAAAACTCTGAAATGAGTCAAGAAAGAGTGATGGTTTCTGTGCACTGCACTTTCTCTCAATATAACTCTATAATTACTCTTGACAGAGTTATGGTTCTTGTGCACTGCACTTCCTCTTATTGTGCATGACCATTGTATGAAGTTGTTTTGAATTCCAACCGGTACTTTTCAAGTTATGCTCCGGACAAGGAAAAGTATCAAAGGGCAATAACTCTGTAATTTGTCAAAATGGTGTGATGGTTCTTGTGCACTGCACTTCCTCTTAACGTGCTTGACGTTTGTATGAAGTTGTATTGAATTCCAACAAGTAGTTTTCAAGTTATGCTCAGGACAAGGAAAAGTCACAAAGGGCAATTACTCTGTAATTAGTCAAGATGGAGTAATGGTTCTTGTGCACTGCGCTTCTTCTCAATGTGCTTGATCATGGTATGAAGTTGTATTGAATTCCAATTATTAGTCTTCAAGTTATGCTCCGGACAAAAAAAGCAATGGAAAAGTAAAAGGGCAAAGGGTAATAACTTTAGATAGAGTTAGGGTTCTTATGCACTGCACTTCCTCTAATTGTGCTTGACCATTGAATGAAGATGTTTTGAATTCCAACAAGTAGTTTTCAAGTTATGCTCTGGACAAGGAAAAGTAACAAAGGGCAATAACTCTGTAATACTAAGTCAAGATGGAAATATGGTTCTTGTACACTGCATTTCTCTGAATGTGCTTGACCATTGTATGAAGTTATATTGAATCTCCAGACAAGGAAAAGTAACAAAGGGCAATAACTCTGTAATTAGTAAAGATGGAGTTATGGTTCTTGTGCACTGCACTTCCAATCAATGTGTTTGACCATTGTATGAAGTTGTATTGAATTCCAACCATTAGTCTTCAAATTATGCTCCGGACAAGGAAAATGCAATGGACGGCCGGACCGACCGACCAACCACCGAATGACTCCTATATACCCCCCAAACGAAGTTAATAATTATATCTTTCAAATAGATTTAATACAATCTGAGGTGGTCTGTCTTTAGAAGGTGTATGATATATATATAATGTGGAGATATGAGGATAAAATTGATTACCTGTACCGGATAAAACCTGTACCATATTATTTAGTTAAAAATTTTCAGACTGTTTGGTTAACAGGTCCAACGTAATAATAGTTTATAAACTTATTCTTATTTATAACTTTATTCTTGTTGGTTATATTAGCGGACATTGTAATTTCAAATTTTATTGAAAAATGAAATTTCTTCTATTTATACTCGTTATCATAGATAACTTGAATGTGGCTCTTGCCAACAATGATAATTGTGGATTAAATGATCTGAATGCGTTAATGGTACGTCTGCGTCAACTTCGAACAGAATTTAACGCCTTGAAAACCCAGCACGAAGCCACTCAAGCAGAAATTAAAGTTCTAAAGGAAGAAAACAGAAAACAAGAAACAGAACTTGAAGAACTAAGACAAGATGTCAACAATAAATCTTTAGAAATAGCGGCAATATCTAAAGATATAGAAATGATCAAAGGTATTCTATTTACTATTAAAGCATTTATTCTAAGATTATTAGTGCTTAAAGGGGACTCGGCACTGGGGTATTTTTTAACATGGAGGGGTCAGAACTTTTTCTTCAAGATATTTATTACCATTTGATGTAGGTCTATACCAATACTATGTACACAATTTCAGAACATTTTCTCACTAACTTTTTCCATAGTTATCATTTTTATTGCAAAATGCAAAATGACTTAAAAATGAAAATTAAAACTCAAATTGGGCTTAAATAGCTCTAAAATCAATTTTCTGTTTATTTCTGAGTATATTTCTTCATGAATTATATTTCCATTTTAGATTCCCCAGTTATTTTATGTAAGATTTTAAAATTTTATGTCTTTAAGATTTTGGACCTCAAAAAAGCTTCTTTTAAAATGTTCAGAGCTATAAATTTTATTAATAATAATGAACTGTTTTAACACTTCTATTGATTTTTTTATACTAATTATCTTCAGCAGGGGGACAGCAAACTAGGTATTATTGTACAATATCAGTTATTGAGTGGACATGAAATGTACCCTTTGACTTGACCTCTAAGTGTGACCTTGACTTTATGGGTAGCAACCCAATAATTAAACTCACATCGTCTCATTATAGTGATTACTTGTTTTAAGTAATTTCAAAAAATGTTCAGCTGTTTAAAAAGTTACGAGTTGATAATTGGTAAAAGTTCTAGCAACGTCATTTTGGGGTATTTCGAATCCAAACTGATGAGAAATATGTTGTACGTGGCATAGCATTCTTCGATTTTTGAAAAAGAAGCATATTCTTTAAAATCGGATGTTTTTATAAACTGAATTTACATTTTTCTGCTTTGTTTTGGTTGATGTGTCGATGGCTCTGAGATTTAAACAGATCTCCAAAATGTGAATGAGCCGCTGTAAAGTAGGCTTGACAAAGGGCGCATCAAATACAGATTAGTTCAAAACAACTGCAATTTGTCCACTTACTGTTACCTTGAGTAAACATTTCATTGATTTTGATACTAAATTGGATCATTTTTTTTTATTTTGTTAACCGTTGATTTTTATCGAAACTATGTCATTCTGTGACTCAAACATTTTCAAGCACTTTTTCAGCAAATTTAAGCACTCTTTGCGCACTTTTCAAGACAGTAATCAAATCAATGACTTTAAAGCACTTTTTTTTAGAAAGGGACTCAAATTTAAGAACTTTTTAAGACTGAACAATCCCTGAAATAAAACTAAATAGTACTTTTGTTGTAAAAAAAACCCCAATTAACTCGCTCTCGGGTGATAACGAGACGAAAATATACCCTATGAGAAACTAGAAATGTGTCACCACTGTTCTGTCAATCTTATGACTCTAGGTCAAATATTTTTTGAAAACTAAAAATCTTTTACTAAGTAAAGGGCAAGAACTTAACAAATACTGAATAAATCAACAAGCAAACCCCAAGGTGCATAAGTACACATGCTGGCCAACATTCTTGTAAACTTTCAGGCCTACAAGTGAAATACTTTTTGAGCTATGCATGAACAAGTTGAAAATTGCAAATTTATACTAGGGCAATAACTCTAACAAAACTGAAAAAAAACACATGCAAACCCCAGGTGCATAACTTCACAGTGATGTTAATCATTATTCCTGTAAAGTTGGTTGTTTCTAATTCAAGCACTCAAGGAACAAATAACACAACATAATGCAATGGTTTTTACTAAGTCAAGGGCAATAATTGTAGAAATATTGGATTAATCGACAAACGAAACCCCAGGTGCACAAATACATATGCTGACCTTTTAAATTTCTTGACTCTAGGTTAAATACTTTTGTGAGCTTCACATAACACAAATTGAAATTTACAAATTTTCACTAAATCAAGGGAAAAAATCTGCAAGCAAAACCCCAGGTGCACAATTACACATGCTGAGCAACATTCCTGTAAGGTTTCATGACTCTAGGTCAAATACTTTTTGATATATGTGCGACACAAGTTGAAAATTGTAAATTTTTACAAAGTCAAGGACAATAACTCTAAAAATACTAAACATAATTATACACATGGAAATACCAAAGTGCACTGCACAACTACACATGCTGATAAACATTCCTGTAAAGTTGTATGACTCTAGGTCAAAAACGGTTTGAGCTACATGCGACACAAGTTAAGAATTCAATATTTACTAAGTCAAGGGCAATAACTCTAATAAAAAAGAATAAATCCACAAGCAAAACCCCAGGTGCACAACTATGCTTGCTGTTTGTGACGGAATTATTCTTGAAACCGTTTCTTCTGATTTTCTTTAAAGCCATGTTCAGGGGATATTTTCCTTGATTCTATATTAAACAATGCACATTGCTGCTCCTGTCCAGCCAACAATTAGACATCCTTGTATGGATTATCAAAATAAATTCATGTGTGTTTCTTTAATAAATATTTGGGCATAGTGAAAATATTAGAAGTGCTTGTTTAAGTTTCTTTCTTCACACGTGTAACATTCTTGTTGTAGTACCATGCTTCATTGTAAATCATAGGAATGGTTCCTTTGCTAGGCACTGCTTCGTCGGCATTTGTCTGTTTCCATTGACAAAATTCTTTCCATAGAGTCATATTATCCACCTGGTGGTTAAATGACAATTTTAGAACTGTAAACAAAGGGTGGTCAGGAAAAAGTAAACAATGTTTACCCCACTTCTAATGTTTGTTTGAAAACGTTTTTGGGGTTTTTTGTTCTTGTTTTTTTGAAAAAGAAATACTCATCTATTAGTTATATTAAACAGATATTGACGACTGTACTCCTGATCCATGTCAGAACGGGGCAGCATGTGCAGACGGCGTTGACTCCTATACGTGCATTTGTGTCGCCGGATATACAGGAACTAATTGTGAGACAGGTAATACAAGTTGTAAGATAAGGTTTACATGAAGTTTTTATAGTCAAAACTAAAGCCTCTAGTGGGTTTTTAGAATCATGTTGTAACTTCAATCTATATAAAATAAATATTTAAGTAGAAAGCTCAACTGCTAATGTAAAATAAAAATTTAGTCAAAAACATGTGTTATGTGACTATAAGTCAAATTGGTATGAACAGAATCAACACACCCCTCCAAATGGGCCTTCATGTCACCATATGGATCACAAGTGTCTGGAAAATCATGGGTTATTATACATGTAAACAAATATGTGTTTAATTTATTTCAAAAGGTATCTTCTCGTCTGACTGCATTTACAATACATTTCGCGACTCAGTTCTAGGTTTGTTGTAAACAATAATTTTTTTTCTCATATACCGTTTTCAAACATCAAATTATAACATTAAAATTATGCCTGCAATTTGTACACCTATTTTTAATCAACGTTCATTACTAAACTGCTTTAATTAATGTTGACATTTTTATATAATGCAAAACCAGAAAATTTCATCATTTGGGCCTCTCATTAGATTGATATTTTTTTCTAAAATAAGGTAAGATGTTCTGTTTAATCATCATATTCAAACATATACCTTTTTGTCATTTCAAAAAGCAACACATTATGTTGGCCTGGTGTAAGTTGCATTTTTGTGTTCTGATATTTTCATGTTTTTTATTTTGTTTTACTGATACTTTACATGTTGAAAAGTGAATGCCTGTTTTAGGCTAGCACAAAGGAAAGCGAAATATAAACTCCTGTAAGGTGTGCTTTGTTGACTTCTACTTAGACTATCTTTATAATAAGTCACTTTTCATATAATCAAATATTGCAAATTTTCGAAAAGTAGACTAGTATATTAAATGTATTTAGTATTGAACTGTCATAGAAATTGTAACATTATTCATGTAAATTTTACACAATATGCCTTAGAATATTATAATACAATGTCATGTATCCTGTTATACATGATTGTTCTAATACTATCAACAAAATATGTCATTACAAACTGACATACTTGTGCTGTTTTGTCTTTTTATGTAAAACAACAAATGCCATTCAAGCCAATATGAAATATTTCATTCACCACTAACTTAAAGACATTATGTTTTACTTAAAATATATTCATGTACGAAATTTATACAAGTACAAAACTTGTAATAATTCAGATTGGCACTTTGAAAATCACACAATCATGCTAACTTATTGACGTGTAGCATAAGAGCGAATCAGGAAATATTACTTAAAGTCCAAATTTACGCTCAATATTTTTAAAAAAATCTCCATTTACTGTAAATAATTTATTTCTTTTAAAAAATGTCACCTTAAGAGAAATTATTATAATGAATATATTTCAATATTTCTGTAATTCGCTATACATGTGCAGTTTTTAAATTTAACCCCAGTGACCCATCGTTCCTTAAGAAATAAAGAAAAATACTTGAAAACAATAACAAGAGGGCCATGATGGCCCTAAGGTCGCTCACCTGTATGTAGGTCCCCGAAGCGGGGCCAGTTTAAACCCCAGGGCTTTTATTTGAACAAACTTGGAAGACACCTATAAGAAGACGTTTCATGATGTACACACTTATAATGAAAAACAATGATCTGCCCTCCCCTGAGTACCCCCCGGCAGGGCCAATTTTAACCAAGGGCTTTTATTTGAACAAACTTGGTAGACACCCATAACAAGATGTTTCATGCTAAACATCTAAGCTGTAGCTCATTGTGTTTTTTAAAAGAAGATTTTTTAAGTTTTTACTATACACATATAGTTGAAAACAATGACACCCCTGGGGCCGGGCCAGTTTTGACCCCAGGGCTTTTATTTGAACAAACTTTGTAAACACTTACTAGAACATGTTTCATGCTTAATATCTAAACTCTAGCTATTTGGGTTTTTTCAAAGATGTTTTTTAAGTTTTTCATATACACATATAAGGAAAATCAATGACCCCCGGGGCAGGGCCAATTTTGACCCCAGGGCTTTTATTTGAACAAACTTGGTAGACACCCATTAGAACATGTTTCATGCTAAATATCTTAGCTCTAGCTCTTTGAGTTCTTTAAAAGAAGATTTTTTAAGTTTTTACTATATACATATAGGGAAAATCAATGACTTCCCCGGGGCGGGGCCAATTTTGACCCGAGGGCTTTTATTTGAACAAACTTGGTAGACATCCATTAGAACATGTTTCATGCTAAATATCTTAGCTCTAGCTCTTTGAGTTCTTTAAAAGAAGATTGCTTAAGTTTTTACTATATACATATAGGGAAAATAAATGACCCCCTGGGGCGGGGCCAATTTTGACCCCAGGGCTTTTATTTGAACAAACTTGGTAGACACCCATTAGAACATGTTTCATGCTAAATATCTTAGCTCTAGCTCTTTTGGTTCTTTAAAAGAAGATTTTTTAAATTTTTACTATATACATATAGGGAAAATCAATGACCCCCTGGGGCGGGTCAATTTTGACCCCAGGGATTTTATTTGAACAAACTTTGTAAACACTTACTAGAACATGTTTCATGCTTAATATCTAAACTCTAGCTATTTGGGTTTTTTCAAAGATGTTTTTTAAGTTTTTCATATACACATATAAGGAAAATCAATGACCCCCGGGGCAGGGCCAATTTTGACCCCAGGGCTTTTATTTGAACAAACTTGGTAGACACCCATTAGAACATGTTTCATGCTAAATATCTTAGCTCTAGCTCTTTGAGTTCTTTAAAAGAAGATTTTTTAAGTTTTTACTATATACATATAGGGAAAATCAATGACTTCCCGGGCGGGGCCAATTTTGACCCGAGGGCTTTTATTTGAACAAACTTGGTAGACACCCATTAGAACATGTTTCATGCTAAAATATCTTAGCTCTAGCTCTTTGAGTTCTTTAAAAGAAGATTGCTTAAGTTTTTACTATATACATATAGGGAAAATAAATGACCCCCTGGGGCGGGGCCAATTTTGACCCAGGGCTTTTATTTGAACAAACTTGGTAGACACCCATTAGAAACATGTTTCCATGCTAAATATCTTAGCTCTAGCTCTTTTGGTTCTTTAAAAGAAGATTTTTTAAATTTTTACTATATACATATAGGGAAAATCAATGACCCCCTGGGGCGGGTCAATTTTGACCCCAGGGATTTTATTTGAACAAACTTGGTAGACACCCATTAGAACATGTTTCATGCTAAATATCTTAGCTCTAGCTCCATGAGTTCTTTAAAAGAAGATTTTAAATTTTTACTATATGCATATAGGGAAAATCAATGACCCCCTGGGGCGGGGCCAATTTTGACCCCAGGGCTTTTATTTGATCAAACTTGGTAGACACTCATTAGAACATGTTTCATGCTAAATATCTTAGCTCTAGCTCTTTGAGTTATTTAAAAGAAGATTTTTTAAGTTTTTACTATATGCATAAAGGGAATATCAATGACCCCCTGGGGCGGGACCAATTTTAACCCCAGGGCTTTTATTTGAACAATCTTGGTAGACACTCACCTAGAAGATGTTTCATGCCATATATCTAAGCTCTAGCTCTTTGGGTTTTTTAAAAGAAGATATTTAAAGTTTTTTCTTTTGGTTGCCATGGGAACCAGAGTTCTGCATGGAATTAAATTCTTTGAACAATTTTCAAAGGTGACCACCAAAGGAACATTCCTGTGAAGTTTGGATGAAATTGGCTTAGTGGTTTATGAGAAGATGTCATTTAAAGTAAAAGTTTACGGAAGGACGACGGACGACGGACGGACGACGGACGGACGCCGGACGAAAAGCGATCACAAAAGCTCACCCTGTCACTGTGTGACAGGTGAGCTAAAAATACATGAAAATAGAGAATAATTACATGAACTCACATAACTTTTATAAAGTAAAATACAAAAGCAGAGAAATACAATAAACATAGTTCAGCAATTTTTTTTCTTCTGATTTTGGGTGAAATGATCCCACCCACCCACTTTGGACACAGTATTAATTCAATTTGTACAAAACTTCAGTCTGACCTTAATTCCATACAAAGGTGGTGCAACAGGAATTCAATGATTCCAAATGCTAATAAAACTAAAGCTTTGTTTATTTCACCTTCAAATAATATCTACAATACTATCAGTAATTCTAGTGATTTCCAGATCACTCTTCAAGATGAAAGCTTACAATTTTCAGAAACAGAAAAACTTTTTGGTGTCCATGTTGATCATACACTGAACTGGAAAACACAAGTCAAAATGTAACTGAATAAATGCAATTTATTACTATACCTTCTTTTGAGAATAAAACAATTTCCAAATGTTCATGTAAGGAAATTTTTCTTTAATGCATACATTCTTCCCCACTTAGACTATTGTTGCACTATTTGGGGAAATTGCAGTAAGGAACTCCTAAATGACCTGTATAAATTTCAAAAACGAGCAGCACGAATAATTTTGGACAAAGATTTTGATGCAGTAAAAAAGCGTTTTTAGTGTACAAGTCCCTTAACAATCTTCTCAAAATCTTTTTACATACACAGAAAATACACAATTAAGATCATATCAACAAAAACAACTTCAAATCCCAAAACCTAGACTTGAGTTCTGCAGAAAATCTTTATCATATTCTGGGTCAAAACTTTGGAATTCTCTTCTCTTAGATATCAGAAATTCCACAAATTTACAGTCGTTCAAAAATAATTACTTGAAATGGTGGTTCTCTGGTGGGAATAAAACACATCAAGTTGTATTATAAAATGATGAATGTATATCTGAATTGCAATGTTTATATTCTTATATAATTTTTTTCCCTAGATTTTCATTTTACATGTTTCTTAACTACATTGAATTTGTAATTTTGTTGTTGTTTATCATACCTTTTGTTTGTAAATGTTTATATTATGTACATTGTATATTTGATAGAGGCTCTTAGGGAAGACTGGGCATGCCTTACTATGTTGCCTCTTTAAATAAAGTCTTTATTATTATTATTACTTTAACTTACAAATTGTGCGATTTCTTCCATTTTTTTTTATTAAAGCAAGCTAACTTAAAACACTCATAGTATTTATGAAAAACAAAACAATATAAGAATGTTCGTAGCTACTTGGAATATTTTAACTGTATTAGAAAAATGTGCAAAAAAAGGCATTTTTCTTGAACATTTTTGAAAAGTTTAGGACAGAAACCTGAAAAGCTATATATTTCATTGTTATCACATTATAACTTGATTATTTCTGAAATGTTTGTACACCTTTTTATCAAAAACAGCATAATCTTTGCTGTAAAATTTACTTTAATCGGATATATATCCGTATTGCATAAAATCGGCGGCCATATTGGACGCCATCTTGAATTATGAAACATTGTGAAAGCAAAATTTTGTAAGATTTGGATTTTTGTACAGGAGAGACTATATGCTTGCTCTGGTTTAAGTTTCAGATTTTGACAAAAATTTGATTAAATGGCCATTGGCTCTTAGGCTAATTATGTGTTTCTTTTTCTGCAGCCATTTGGTACTTTTTCCAAGAAAGCTACTATTACAGAAGTACAAAAGCTCTGAACTGGCTTCAATCTGAGGTAAGTATTACATGGTTTAGACATATGTTTTTAAGCTCGATTGCGAAGCAAGTTCTTGCAACTTATATTAATCACTTTCTAGTCCGCTTCCTGGAACCAACCAATACTGGTGTCCGTATGAAGAAACATGGTCGTGACCCGAGTAGGGTCG